CTTCATTGGAGCCTTCTTAAAAAAACAAAACCCTTCAGGAAGAGTCCTAGTTTGAGAACCCTTGAATAATTCCACATTCACATCACTGCAGGCTGAACAGCCCAAGTGCCTGTGTGGTTTCGCCACCAAGAGAGACACCACTGAGAACGGGCACCGGCGAAGGAACTGCTCCCTCATCCAGTGTCCCTGTAAATGCCCACCCTCAGGCAGGTGCTTCAGACCTGGACTCCTTCTGAGGAGGATGGGCATCCCGTCCAAGTCACTCCCCAGCACAGGGACCTGCAGTTACAACCCTCTTCCATGTACTCTGACCCCTGGGCAGACGTGCTTGCCCGAGCACCCCCGTATACTACTTTCCTACGAGACCCTGCGCTAACTGAAGGCCAGCGATGTTGGCTGTTCACACCTTAACCAGCAGCGACATTTCTGCCAGCACAGGTATCCGGAGAATATTTGTTGAACAGGTAGACTTGTTGTGGACGTGGAAGGCTGCCACAGAATTCCGCCTGTTTCTGCAATACGGTTTTCATGGTCGTTCTGCATGTGTTTAGGCCCCAAGGTCATGCCAGAGCTTAGCACACCTCCCCAGTCCCTGAGACAGAATTTGATAAGCCAACATGAGCTGGAATGAAACAATGGAAGGATGGACACAGGGAGAATTTTCTGGGCCCACCGATGTGTGGACACAAATGGAATCATCGAGTACCAACGCTTTTTCTTGCTTATGCTCAGCCCACTCAACATGTTTAAAATAACGTGATGAGTGTGTTTATGTAAGACCATTGTGTTAGTCAGCTTTTCGTCACTGTGACCAAAATACCTGAAAGAACCACTTAGGGGAGGAGAAGTTTATTTTGGGCTCATACTTTCAGCGAAGCCATCCATGGCTGGTGGACTTCACTGCTCTGGGCCTCGGTGAGGCAGAACATCATGACAGGAGACTGTGCTAGAGGAAAGTGGCTCAGCTCATGGCAGCCAGGAAGAGAGAGGTTAAAAGGCCAGGGTCAGATGTAGTCCAAGGCCACGTCCCCAGGACCCTACCTCCTCCAGCCACTCCCCACCTGCCTACAGTCATCACCCTGTAGTCCTGAAATGGATTAATTCACTGATTAGGTTAGAGCCCCATGACCTAATCCTTACTTCCAAACCCCACCTCTGAACCTTGCTGTATTGGGGACCATGCTTCCAAAGCCTGAGATTTTGGGGGCATTTTAAAGACCCAGATCATAGTGGCACCAAGATGGGTTCATGCTTCTGCTTCTGTTCTGGATTCTTCTCTGTGGCATTCTCCTGGGGTCATTGAGCATGAGCCTTCTGACTGACCACCTTTCTCCCTCCCAGTGGCTGCTTTCACTTTGCTGCGGGGTCACAGATTCTCACAGGGGCCACCATCACTACAAACATCGCATGTGCCACTCAGACCTCAAAACAGCTTGATATTCTGAGATCAAGTGTGGGAGAGTCTTTCTTCTTCATTTTCAGTTTTGACTGTCTTGGGGTTTAGGGGGTATTTTGCAAAGCTTGTAATGAAGCAACTCATCTCGAATTAGTTTACATCCATATTGCTCCATGGAACTCAGACAGCTATCCTGGGGGGTTGGGACAGAAGAAAACACCAAATGACCCACACTGTGCTGTGCTCAGAGTCACCCTTCATCCTCGAGGGCCTCGATCCTGGACCAGAGAAGCCTGCTTTTGCCTGTTTGACTCTGTGCTTGGCGTGGTTGAAAAAGTCTGTCCTGTTGTGAGCACAGTAAAGGCTAAAGTTGAGGTGATCATTTCTCATTTCTACATATAGGTGCTATAGATTGTACCAGTGTAACAGCACACTGACAGAAATATTTATTACTCAGTTTTTGATCTGTTAAAAGAACCACAGGAAGTGTGTATTTTGTGAGTTGAGATGCCAACCGCTTGAGTAACTGTTAGTAAATCTAAGGATGGGCCACCCCCGCCCCCGTCCTTTTATCCTACCCTGATAACATCAACGTTCACTGCAAATGAACTTAAATGAAAAGTTTTTGAAATGAACTTTTATATATTTAAGCTTAGTACAATTTGGATGAAGGGTGACTCTGTAATTACATCCATTAAATTGGTTTCAATTGCTCTACTGTGTCAACAGTTAAGGCTTAAGTGAAGGAAAAGACATTTTCAAGAAGAAAACAATAATTCCCACCCCCACCCCCGCTCATATTCATCTCCTCTCATTGAAAGTGATGCACATAACGTTCTCTAAACAGCCTTCCCATTTAGACCTTTGGGGTAAAACTGTTGGTGATCACTTGGATGACATTTCAGAAGAGATTGTCACAGAGAGGTCACATTTCTTCAGAATCAGAAAGATTTAAGTTTCAAATCCAGCTCTGACCCTTTCTTTGAAATCTCCTTCACAAGGCTCTTCTGCAAGATGGTGATACAGGCCAGTGTGGCAAAGCTCTTGGCAGCCTAGTGAGTTACACAATAAAGCTAATACTTTTGAACCGTATACACACATCATCATGCCATTAATTTTTAAGTATTTGTCAACATAGGTTTACATGGGGCATGAAAAGGATCATAATTTTCCATCTTTAGAAATTAGGTCAAACCTCTGTTTCTGCAAATAAAGTTAATGAGTCTAGGAAACTTTGCATTTGAATATGCTGTTTGTTATTCAAAAGGGAAGTTTGACCTGTGCATAAGAGAAAAAGGAAATCAATGGAGAACAACCCCCAAATGACCCCGATGTGACTCTAACAGACCTGGATTCCAAGCATCCCTTAAAACTATGTTCAAACATATAGAAGAAAACATAAGGGGCAGCAGAATGGCATCTGGAACCCGTGTTTGTACAGGTACCTGCAATTATCCACATGAAACACTTATTTACTAGTGTTGGCAGAAAATAGCTTGACCGGGTGTATCCAGAGGAGCATCAAATTCCAGTTTATTCTGTACATGCACTCATGAATAATAAACAGTAATTTAAAAAAGCTTTCTGGATATTAGGGAAACGAAGACAAACCAAACAAAAAATAGGTCTGATTTTCAACTCATGGACTCTGGATTTGACATAAATCGAAACAAGTATAATAGGTGGTTAAAAAAAAAATAGTGTGTTTCATATAAACAGCACTTAGCTGTAGCCCAAAGCCCCAGGGGTACTAAGTTTTACTTCCAAATTTGGGGTGAATTGGACATAAGGGAAAGCTTGAAGGAATGACCAATGAACAGATGAGATGAACCTAATCAGATGCTTGGGAGATTTACATGCAGCCAGGGTGGAACAGAAGGGAGCAGCCAGGGTGGAACAGAAGGCAGCAGCCAGGGTGGAACAGGGGGGAGCAGGCATATGGACAAGGTGATCTGGAGAAGGTTCTGAATACAGGAGTGGAGGGAGCAGTCCTCCTAGAGTACATGGTGCACCCAAGGTGCAGAGATAAGGTAAGAGAAGCAGGTGAGTCCAGGTTACAGGACACTGGACATCCTCTGAAGACATCAGGAAGCCAATTAAAGGACAAGATACAAAAGCTCAGTGTTATTTCCTTTGTAAACTACAATTCCAGAAACAATTTCCAAAATTGATCGTAATTCCGACAATTACTTAGTAAAAAAGCAGATGAAATAGCTCTTGTAATTTTAGTGTAGAACCCTTTAGTTTATTCAGGATTAAGTTACCACATGATAGATTTGAGCACCAATTAAGAATCAAGAAATTTGCTATAAAGTTTTTTAACTTTTTAATTATAAGATATATGTAAGTTTATGGTTTGACAAAATATTCCAATGCACTAACAGAAAGAATCCACCCTTGACATTCCTTGGAATGGCAGTAGAGGAAAGAAATTTAATTTTATGTATACAAAATGAAATCCACACATAAAGCACAAGTTAAAGTTAAATTATAGGTTGCTAGTTTTGCAGAAATAATACTTCTTTCCTAAGGTCTTGTCTGTAATGTGTTCTGATGAGGAAATTAAGGAGTTCTGTTTCTTAGATAACTTATAAAATTACATTGAAAAATGTTAACATTGATAACGTTGAGACATGACCAAAATATCTTATAAATTCTTAGGGGCTGTGGGTTTTGCCAAATTGTATGGTGCTTGCCTAGTATGCACAGGGCTCTAGGGTTTGATCACTAGCACTGCAAAGATAGAAATAGAGATAGAGAAAGAGATAGAGATAGATAGATAGATAGATAGATAGATAGATAGATAGATAGATAATATTAAATTCACAGCAAATGTGTTTTATAATAGTTCAGGTATTTAGGGTCTAGTAGGATTCACTGGAAATATTTGAGGATTTTGAAATATTAGAATATAATGCCATCAGAGTATTTCAGACTGGGAAAAGCAAAGGAATTTTATGTCCCCAAATTCAAAATGCTTATTTTATCCTTCATGTTACTCCTTACAGCTAATGACATCAAAGAAAGGAACTCGGACACATGGCAGTGGTCACACTTGGTTGCATATCAGTGAGTGATTATGTAATACTTGTATGACTTTTAAAAGCAAACACAGCACAAGTCCCTGCCCCCACACCCTACTCTGTTTTGTGGCATGGAATGGTGCCTAACCTCCTGGGACCATCTGTGTTAATATGGACATAATTATTCCTTATGTTCTATAATTGCATAAGGTACATCTTACAGAGAACATTTCCTCCAAGGGTCTTATGCAATGTTCTATGAAAACAAGCCTTCTCTGGATGTGTGAGTCACTGTCTCCCAGAAAACGTCTTCCTTGTAAATGATTCCAGCGCTTATAAAACAAAAGAAGGGAGGAGAGAAACCAAGACCTTTTTCCAAAAGGGAAAAACTAACCCAAGGGACAGGGGATTGCCATTCCATTTCCTCTTATTTGCTCGTTTTGTGATAGTAAGACTTTTTAAAGTTGGTTATTTAATCAAGAGCAGAAAGCCTGATGAACTTTGACCTATTTCCATGAACTGGTGGTCAAACGGGGAGAATAAAATTCCAAAACGGCACAATCATCATAAAATCCATGTACTCACTTTTGTTCTGTTTTATTTGGCTTGAGGTTCCTCGGTTGTCACCTGAAATTTTTGCAACTATCCTTGGCATGTCTCTAGTATTTTGATACAATACCAAGAATTGTATTAAATTTAAATTTCCTAGATTGCCTAAATTTCCAAGCACAAACAAATCTATTTTCTCCCTTTGCTGAATTATCTCTTCAGGTTCTTTCCACTGATAACCCATCTAACCAAAAAAACCAAAACAAAAACAAAAACAAAGAGTGATTAGTGATTAAATACACATCCACCTCAACACATGGTCAGTGTAAGGAAATATGCTTGAACTCATTACACTGCTTTCTGAATCCTTGTTACTTTCAGTTTTCTTAAGAACACAACTCCTAAAAACAACATCTGACAGAATATATCTAATCTGCTATTTGGCTAGGTCTGGGATGGTACAAATGAGAATCACCGGAGAACTTGGCCAACACAGTGGCTGCGGGTCTGCCCCCTGACTCCAGGCACCAGAAGCTCGCTCCGGGTGAGAAGTCTTTGAGCACCTGGGGCTGGACCTCTTGAGTTCATGGGTGGAGAGCCCCTCACTTTCTCCCCTGCTTCCCACCGCATGTCCAGGTGCCACGCGCCTCTCAAGCTTCATTTCGGAGCCCCTCCTGATGGGCTGGAGGAGCCAGGCCGCCGACGGCTTGCTGGGAGCGGTGGCCTTGTGCAGAGCCAAGTCACCCTCTGAGCGCCGTGAGGGACTGCCAGCCCTGCCGCAGCCTGCTGGCCAGCATCTCCCTGAAGTGGTCGCCCAGCAGGAAGTAGAAGACAGGGTTGACAGCGCTGCTCAGGAAGGCCAGCGGACGCGACAGCACGTACAGGCAGCTGATGACCACCTGCGTGCAGCCCTGCCCGCCGCCCAGGCGCGAGGCGATGCGCACGTTGCGCAGCACGTGGTAGGGCGTGAAGAGCACGGAGAAGACCACCACGGCCAGGACCACCAGCGCCAGGGGCTTCTCCAGCGTCTGCGCCACGCTCAGCTGCCGGCTCCGCTGCCGCAGAAAAATAGTGATCTTGTAGGAGAAGAAGCACATGACAGCCAGCGGCGCCAGGAACCCCACCAGGGTCAGGCACAGGCTGTAGACGAGGTTGTACCGCGGGTCCCCCGAGCTGGCGTAGTCGGTGCAGCTTGTGCCCTCCTCCGTGGTGACCGGGCCGATCACGTGGAGGATAGGCAGCAGCTCCAAGGTGACCAACGCCCAGATGGCCAAGGAGATCAAGACGGCCAACTCCTTCTTCTGCAGAAGGTGCTCCCGGAAAGGGAACTTCATGAGCAGATAGCGGTCGACGCTGATGAAGGTGAGGAAGAGGATGCTGGTGTAGAGGTTGGCGTGCAGCACGTAGCGGTTGCTCACGCAGAGCACCTCGCCGTACTGCCAGGCTCCCTTGGAGTAGCTTCGCATCAGCATGGGCAGCGTGCACAGGAAGGCCAGGTCCGAGATGGCCAGGTTGAACAGGTAGACGTTACTGCTGCTCCAGTTCTTCAGACAGAAGAGGTAGCCGAAAACCACCGTGGTGTTCCCAAGCATTCCCACGACGAACTCAAAGCCGTAAAAGATGGAGAGGTAGTACTTCTCCAAGGCCGACTGGACCTCCAGCCAGTCCTTGCACGTTTCATTCCACGCCTGAAGAAGACAGGAAATGCAAGGGCAAAACATGAGAATGTGACGCAGGACAAGACTCTGCAGACCGCCGTTAACAAAAGGAACACTGGAGGAATGATAGCAGTGAGCTAAGCAAAATTCCTAGCTCAGTGTTCACTCTCTTGGGAAATTTTAGGAAATATCCAGGCGTGGTGGTGCACGCCTGTAATCCCAGTGGCTTGGGAGGCTGAGGCAGGAGGATCACAAGTTCAAAGCCAGCCTCAACAACTTAGTGAGCCCTTAAGCAATTCAGTGAGACCTCAGCTCAAAATAAAATATAAAAAGGGTTGGGGAAGTGGCTCAGTGGTTAAGCTTGATTTCCAGTACCAAAAGAAACAAATAAATAAAAATTTAAAAAGTTAGAAAGTCAGGAAATAAATAAATGATGCCATATAATACCAGATGCTATAAATAAAAAGGAGGAAAGCTAAAATTTTAGAGTTCTTGGAGTAGAGGGTGGCTGTGAACTATTCTTATATATGATGTTCAGGGAGCTGCTTCTGTATGGGATTACATTTACACAGAAATTTCAGTGGAGAGGGAAAGAGCCATTTCCCTATCTGGAAGAAGAGTGTTTCTGACACAGGAAGGGCATGTTCAAAGGCCCTAAGAAAGAAGTGCACAGAGGGCTTAACAAACAGCAAGAGTCCAAAGCAGAGTGTGGTAAAGGAAGTGAAGAGGAGAGTCTAATTTGCTTTTGTTTCTAGAAGGTACCACAGTCCCCGATGCATCATCGCTGTCCAACAAATTCTGCTGAGTTAAACTGAATTGAACCATAACCTAGAGAAGGAAATAGGGATTGTTAGAAATCCAATCTACAACTGCAATCTTGAAATAGACTATTTCAAAATTTACAATGTGAAACTGAGCATCTTACTAATGATAATAGTGCCTACTGTTTTTGAGAGCTGATAGTGGGGCAGGCACTGATGCACTACTTTCCAAGAATTATCTCATTTAATTCTCACAGTGACATAATGAAAGAGGGACTCGTGTTCTTTTCATTTGACACATAATTTCTCTGATGCTTGGAAAATTAAATACCTGCTATTTTAGTCTAACCCTGCTGCTACAGCAATTTACCTTACAGTGGGTAATCTATAAATAATAGAAATGTTTTCCTCACAGTGTGAAGGGTGGGAAGTCCAAGTTCAAGGTGCCAGGAGCGACCGTGTCTGGTGAGCTGACAATTGCTCTTTGCTCCAAAGATAGTGCCTTTTGATGCTCACAGCAGTGGTGCAAGGCATCCCCCTGAACCAGATCTCATTGATGAGGCAGAGTCCTCATGACTTACCTGTTCCCCAAGGACCTGCCTGTTAGTACTGTTAGGTCCCAATGCATGTACTGTGTGAAGCCCCCAATACTCAGAGCACAACACTTGTTGAGGTCAGATGCTAGTGAAAGATCTTCACAGGGCTATCTTCTGAATACAGACCATGAAAACAGCAATCTAATTCAATAGATCTCAAACATCTTGCTAACTCTTCATTTTCTCCCTTGTCATCAGACCAGATTGTGGTTGGATAAGGTATTTCAAAGAATTTGAGTTATCTAAAAAATGTGCTGGATTGCCACTATTCAATATTACATCTTACTTATCTCAAGGTTGAATTTTCTAAATAAAAAACCAACTTCTTATTAAATAGGTTTTAGTGGCAATGAAATGATTCCTTCAATTGAAGAATTTGGGTAAGTACAGCAAAATAATAAGTGCATCTGAACTGTTTTTATCAAGAAGCAGCATCAAACATTCAGTAGAATCTTCTACCATAGAAGCTTCTGGAAAAGTTGCACGACCTCCTTCCAATTCAAGTGGCTTACCTAAAGGCTGGGAGGAGAGGGAGCAGGGCCCTGGGTCACTTCTTAAAGGACAGGAGAGCACAATAGCCCTGCAGATATTTGCTAAGAAACTTACAAAGAGGCTACTTTAAAATCAGGACCTATGTGACGATCGGTGACACTCCAAAGGAGGAAAAGTGCCTGGTTGACATTTTGATGGGACTAAAGGCTGCATGGATACACTGAAGCTGTCCCCAGGGTTGGGCAGGGCGGACTTCCAACCTGTAGATCCACACAAACCCCTGTGGTGGGCGGGCTTGGGCGCCTCTCTCATGGGACCAGTCCCTCCTCGGAAGCTCTGCTTTCTTTATGCTAATCAAGTAAATCCTGTTACTTTCTCTCACCCTGTGTGTGTGTGGATTTTATCCTTCAAACTCGTGAGACAAAGTCCCCACCTCTGCAGCACTGAGTGTTGATTTGTGAGGATGAGTCTCGGGCCTGCAGCCGAGCTGGGCCTGCCTGGGGTCCGCTTAGGCTCTCCGGACCATGCTGTTCGTTCCCGATGTCTCTTCAGCCTTCTGGTGGGTCTCGGGGCTGCTTCTCCACCAGGGTCACGGCTGTCGTGGGATAAGCCTCAACAGCAGGAGCAGGAGCAGGTGCAGGTGCAGGCACCGCTCCCTGGCTTCATGGGTCACTGCCCCTCCTGGCCCAGCATCTGGGAGGACCTGTCCCACTGTGCATGTGGCCCAACACTGGACCCTGGGAGCTGCCCTAGCGCCCACCCACCCAGCCACCCCACAGAGCTCCTCTTTCCCAGGCTCTATTCTGACTTCTCAGATGCTTCTCACACCAGGATTAGAGAAAACGCCCTCCTGTCACCTTCTGTCCCCTCACAGCCTCCTGGTTTTCCTCCCTCCACCCTGGCTGTGCTCTGCAGGCTCTTTTGTGGCTCAACTGGTAGATCCTAGGTTCAGGGCTCAGCTCTGGGGTTCCTTCTCTACATTCGGCCTAGATAATCTCATCCACTTTCGACCTTCCAAAGCCGGCCATCCACCAACAACTCCTAGATTTACAACCAGCCCAGACCTGTTTTATAAGCTCTGGCTTTTATACTTATTGTCATGTATTATTTCTCACCAATGTCTCTGCCATTAAATCCTATGCTAAGTGACACTGGCACCAAAACAGACATGAAGACCATTGGTACCGAACAGAAAACACAGAGACAGACCCACATAAATATAGTTATGTCATACTAAAAAAAATACCATAAACGTACATTAGAGAAAAGATGTCCTCTTCAACAAATGGTACTGGGAAAACTGGAAATCCATATGTAGAAACATTAAACCCTTATCTCTCACGGTGCACAAAACTCAACTCTAAGTGGATCAAGGACCTAGGCTTTACACCCAAGACCCTATACCTAATAGAAGAAAAAGTAGGCCCAAATCTCTATTGAGTTGGCTTAGGAACTGAGTTTCTCAACAAGACTCCTAAAGCGTAAGAAATAAAATCGAGAATCGATAAAAGGAATGGAATCAAACAAAAAAACTTCTTCAGAGCAAAGGAAACAATCAAGAACGTGAAGAAAGAGCTTACAGAATGGGAGAAAATCTTTGCCACCTGCACCTCAGATACAGCATTAATCTCAGGATATATAAGAACTCAAAAAACTAAATCACACACACAAAAAAACATATGACCCAATTGGTAAGTGGGCAAAGGAACTGAACAGACATTTCACAGAAGAAGAAATGTGATCGGTCAATAAACATGAAAAAATATTAAGCATCTCTAGCAATTATAAAAATTCAAATTAAAACTACTCAAATTACATCTCACTCCAGTCAGAATGGCAATTATCAAGAATACAAATAATAATAAATGTTGGTGAGGATGGGGGGAAAAGGTAAACTCATACATTGCTGGTGGGACTGCACATTGGTGCAACCACTTTGGAAAGCAGTATGAAGATTCCTTAGAAAACATGGAATAGAACCACCATTTCACCCAGTTATCCCACTCCTCAGTACATACCCAAAGGACTTAGAATCAGCATACTACAATGACACAGCCACATCAATGTTTATAGCAGTTCAATTCATAATAGTAAGCTATGGAATCAACCTAGGTTCCCTTCAACAGATGAATGGATACAGAAAATTGTGGTACATATACCCAATGAAATATTTCTCATTCATAAAGAAGAATGAGACTATGGGACTTGCCAGTAAACAGATGGAACTGGAGACTATCATGTTAAGTGAAATAAGCCAATCCCCTAAAACCAAAGCTCAAATGTTCTTTCTGGTATGTGGATGCTAACACACAATAAGCAGGGGTAGGAGGGAAGAACAGAAGTTTGTTGGGTAGACAAAGGAGAATGAAGGGAAGTGGGGGGCTTCTGGGAATAGGAAAGACAGTGGAATGAATCACATATAACTTTCCTATGTTCGTGTATGAATAACGACCAGTGTAACTCTACATCATGTACAACCACAAGAATGGGAAGTTATACTCCATGTTTGTATAACATGTCAAAATACATTCTATTCTCATGTAAACTAAATAGAATTTAAAAAAAGAAAGCCTATGCTAAGTTCTTCCACTTCCTTACCAGTGTTGCAGAATATCCACCTATCTCAGTAAAATTGTGTCATCATGGACCCAAGTGTGCACCACAGAACTCTAAGCAACGACCTCAAAGTCATCCCTTATTTAACCCCAGTAATGAGTCAACTCCCACATCTTGTTGCCTGTCATTCCAGATGTTTCTCAAGTTCATCATTGTACCCACACACCATATTCTAGTCTAAGCCACTGTTCTCTATCTTGGATTATGTCACATTCTCTTACTGTCTCACATCTTCTCCGGACCTTTTCAATTTATGTCGCTATAATAGCCACATAATCTTGAAAATAGAATCACATTGCTCTCCTAGACTTCAATGACTTTCCACAGTCCAAGGACTGCAGTCTGAATCATTGATGGGGACCCCACACCATGACCTGGCTCCTGGGTGCCACTTGGCCTGCCTTAGCGTTCCATGTTCACCTCTCCTCCCACCTGCTCTTGAACACACAGAGTGGTCCAGGGCTGTCTTCCTGAAGTGACTCTCTTGTGTGACATTATTCATCTTACATGTAGACTTCTTTCAGGACTCAAATCAAGTGTGAGTTTCCCAGAACAAGCTCTCTGGCCCCCATTCTAAGCCAGCCCCTCCCCCTGGCGCTGTGGGGCAAGTTGAACTTCCTAGCACCTCTCGCAACTTTGTTTGACTCATTGTTTATCTTCTACATCTGGCCCAGTGACTAGCAGATGGTAGGTGGTCGGAAAATGCTTGTTGAGTGAAGATAGAACTGTAAACATCTGACTGTTTACCAGGAGTTTTATAAATAACTCCTCCAAGTTCAGAGAAGTAGCATGTCCACAAAACTGAACCCCAAATTGCTGTATTTCATTACAAAATATGACACTCTGTATAATATAAATGATATTAAAAATTGGAAACGGTAGTACCAATAGCTATGGCTTTGAAACATTTATAGAAAATGTGTGTGTCTTCTAGGATACATTTAATAATCCAAGGCATTTAATTAAGAATTCACACCTGAAATTAAGAAACATTCGAAAGATTTGCATCAAAGTGTTGGTAGTTTCATTCCTAACAATGATATTCCAAATAGTATTTTCCATGTCCTTTTCCTTTTAGTCTCTGACAATTTTTTTATAGTAAGGTAGCATGTATTCAGTAATATTAAAAGTTTTAATTCTTAGAAATATAGAAAAAGAACCAAGGAACTTCTCTGTGTAAGCTAATAGTCCTTGTTTTTTCAGATCAGTGGTCTTTTTCACTAGCTCCAACTCTCCTGCTGCTGCTGCCGTTCCCAGCCTCCTGGAAGCATGTGCTCCCTGTTTTCTATGATGTGCCAATCTGGTCCCTCCAGTCCCCACTGCAGACTCCCTTGTGACTGACCCTTCTTTGCCCAAGTTTTAAATGGCTGGACAGTCTAAAGGTTCAATCTGGATACCTTTGTTATTTGGGGAGCACCCAGAAGGTGGGGTGCACACTTAAAATTGAAATTAAGATAGTAGAAAATTTCCTCAGACAAGAAACTCACTAGTTTCAGTTTTGAATTTCCTTTTTCCAGTCATAACCAGGAACCAGGTCGTATTTCTGCCTAGTAAGTGCTGGCTTTTGTCAGTAGTTTATGCAACTGTGCGCAGCAGAAAGTTTGGACGATCATGAATGAAAACTGTGTCTGTGAGGACAGGCGTGACTTGAAGCCAGATTGCCACCGACCACCACTCAGGCAAGTTAGGGACCTCGTGGAAATGATGAGGAGCTCTTCTACTTTCCAAAGAGGCTGGATATTCAGGGAGCTAGCAAGGATAGAGCCCTGCAGGGTGGAGTAAGGAAATTAGGGACTAAATTCACCTGTTCCTTTCCTCCATTAATTTATACCTGCACATTGCTTCTCATAGAGCGGTTGCCCCATAAAAAAAAAAAAAAACCTTTAAAAATATATGTATGGGGCTGGGTTGTAGAGCACTTGCCTAGCACCACATAAAAATAAATAAATAAAATAAAGGTATTGTGTCTATCTACAACTAAAAAATATTTTTTAAAATGTGTGTATGAAATACATACTAATTGTATAATACCTATCGATGCAAATAGGCAAAAATAAGGGAAAAAAGATCTTTAAACCCATCATTTATAATATTAGGGTACCATTCTACACTTTAATATTTATTTGAATTTGCATTTATAAAAATTAGATGATGTTTTTAGTGATGTTTTATTATTGGTTTCTTTGATACTTTTGTTTAATAATGGAAAGTTTTTTATAAGTCTATAATATTCACAAATTATGGCTTTGTAAAGGCAGGCGATCCAATATTTGTAGGCCAGCTCAACTTCTCAAAGAGCCACAGTTATATTCCAAATTGCGTGATATGTGTATGTGTGTTTTTCATGTGGCCATCACAATTGAAGAAATTGGGGAAGTAAATTGTTTCTTTAAGCACAACTCTCTACTGAAAGGGAAACTTTGTCATAAAAAATTACTAGTCTCTTCCACTGTCTAGTGGTTATACTCTTGGAAATGGAATTAGTGATAAATAGCTTATAACTGATTTGTTTAAATTCTTTTAACAGATCTTTTTCTTTAAAAAGTGTTGTATACTAAAGTGAAGTCAATAATTCTTAGTCCAAAATATCTAAACCTGCTAGAATTAATACACTAGAAGCAATGTCAAATTTACTCTCATAAACAGATCAATAATACTGATTTTTAAATTTGGGATAATATTTCTTTCACTTTAAATATATTCATCCTTTTGGAAACATACAGTTTCAACAACTAAATTTAAAATATATATATATATATATATATATATATATATATATATATATGATAGTTTCTTAGACTTTAAATTATTTTCTTACAACCATCAAAATTAAACATAGAAAATTTGTGGAATTTTAATTTTTTACTGCTACCATAAAGTGAATTTACAATTTGAGTGAAAATATATATTCACACTGAAAAAAATACAGTAATTTAACTGGTGACTTAATTTTCATATATTGCATAAGTTACATCAGAAACTAAATTATTGAAAAGTGATAGAATGGCATCAAATAGTATGCACATTAATTTCTTTACAAATATACTACAAATAGGTAGAGTAGCAATGATTTCTGTAATTTTTAATTTTTCTTCAGTAAGTTATATTCTTGAATCATCTTATTTTATTACCTATAAAGGCTAAATTTAATTTTTAAAATACCTTAAAATTCCATCTAATACTTTGCTTTCTAAGCATGATAAACTATTTCATATGATTCAGGATCTTTAATTTTTTCTGTAAGTGATAATACGTATTCAGGTGAATCCAATTACTAATTTTTGTTGCAATATGTTACTGAGATGTCAGTAAATACAGTAAACCTTTCTAAATGAAATAAACTTAGCATTTGGCAATTAACACAAGACATTTAATTTTGTATAAACAAAATGCAAAGGCAACAATTAGGGCTTCCCTTTAGTTTCTTTGGCTGGTTTTCCTCTCCTTGAGAGCTCTTCCCCTAAACAGGACTTTTACCCCTTTGGCTCACAGAGCAGTTTTTCCCAAAGCCCCCAGCAGCAGCCTGCCCTGCGGGTGGGAGGAGGAGATGCAGAGCAGCTTACCATTCTGCTGGATGGCCTCTCCCTTGACAGAACCTCGGCCAGTTCTGGAGACAGCTTCTGACCCAGTGCAGTGTGGCCAGACATGCTTAGTTGGGTCTAATTTGCATATCAGGCAGCCAAGATTAATAATTCAAAAGTCAGGGATAATTTATGCAGTCAAACCTCCAAGTCAGAGACATGCATGCAGGGAAATTTCTGCAGAATGGAGACACGGAACAAATGACTCATTTTGCAGAAAACACATTTGACAAACAGATTTGGAGAACACTACAGTCGGATTGGTTTTATCCACTAACAAAGTCACGGAGAAGCAGTCCTTATTTTCATATTTATTTGCGGACTCAGACAACACATTATGTTGAGTATACAATTGCATCTGTTTTTTTCTTCAATTTTCAGTTTTTTGGTGAATGCTAGGTTGGGCATACAATGACTAAGCTACTGTTATCAACAACTTTGAGGGAGCTATAAAACGGAAACTTTGAAGGGACTGTACTTATATCCTGTTAATGTACTAGGAAAGGGACACTAGAGCTTTTTTTTCAATTATTTTTTCCATTTTACTTGCTGTGATTAAGTTCAAGAGACACTTAAAAATGCATCAGGTGGCTAGGGATTAGGGAGAGAGGTACTATAAAAGGCACTCCAGAGACTGCAGTGTATCCATCCCAATCAATGCCTGAGTAGCACCGGGAGCTCATTGCCTCCGTTTCAGACAGGAAGCACACCTGGCTTTTCCTGAGGATTATGTTAGATTTATGATCAAGTAAACACTCTGTCTGCTTGATGTGAAGCTTGGGGATTATGCTGAGGAAATGCCTAACTGTTCAGGCAGTAGAAATTCAATTTGAGTGCCATATAAGTTGATTGTAGAGTTAGCAGTGATAAGCAGGAGTCCACAAGAAACTTTATTATGTCTCCTCCTAACCAGGAGTTTCCTCTTTCCCCAGTCTCTATGAGCCTTAAACTGAGAATCTTCAAAAAAAAAAAAAAACATAAATATAAATATTCTTTGAATATATATAAGTGTACTTAAAATTATATACATGAATTAAATATAAATGTATTTATATGTGAATAAATATTTACACATACAACATGTTTATTTATCTGAAATAGCATATCTTTAATTTGTTGGGTTTTTATGATAGCCAGGCATTGAACTGAAAACTTTTATTTATGTTAAATACTTAGAGTATGCCTCTAAGTTTGTTATTATTTTTATTTTATAGAATGCAAAACTGAGATCAGAGAGATCATTAACTTTCCTAGGGTCACAGAATCAGTTAAGGGTGACTGAAGTTTAAGCCTCTGCAACTTCCATTCTGAAAGCACCTGCGGACCTCTGACTCCTGTGAGAGTGAGTGACATTCTTCTTGATGTGTACAATAAGTTCTGGGAATTAATGACAGGCACTTTTCTACTTTCTCTTTTCTTTAGAGAAAGGCTAAAATATTATTCCTGTCTATGAATTTAAATGGGCAAACGCATTTGCAAAACCGTCAGTGTTGTTAATTTTACACCTAAATTAACACAGAGGAGCAAAGGCACCTGGACGTATTTCACAGGTTTCTGCCACCCTTCCAATGGAGATAGGGCAATTCCCTCTGTGGGGAGGTGGGAGTTCCCCAGAGCTTCCTCTTTCTCCTCCCCACCTCCTGACCACCACAGAAGTGGTTTGTACTTCTCCTTTTCCACAGGCCTGCCATCCAGACTCAGACTGGTGACCTGCTTCCCTGCCAAGTCCACCTTGCCAGGGGCCCCTTCCCTCAGGACGTTGTCACTGGAGGAGGAGAGTGAGTCAGGGGAAAGACTTAGGGAAGATTTCCAGTACTCCTGGTGTTCTCAGTACGTCCTGAAGACCAGTGAGAGATATCCAGTACTTCTGGTCATTTTGCACACAAAAGGAATCAGCCCAGGGATGAGGTTAGATGCAGGGCCATGGCCCATGAGCAGGGCTGGTGTCATTGACTGCTAATGCAACCTCGCAGGGTCTTGCACCCAGAGGGGCCACACACTTAATCTAATGCTTTCCTGTCACATTCGTATATGAAATTCTTCATGATTTCATAATGAACGACCCCATCTTTTCTTTTTGCATTGCCAGCTCCGCCTGCTGAAGTACAAAGCTCCTCGGAAATGATTGCAAATAGTATAGTCAGTTTCAATGGGGCAAAGTTTTTGGTTTTTGCTGTCTTCTTTTTTAGAAACAACATAGTGAAGTTCATGGCTTGAGGAGCAAGGGGAGTTGGAAAGGCAGTTGAGTTTGCAGGAAAGCTTGCTCTCCCAGAGGCAGTAAGGTAGGAGTGAGAGCCCCGCCCAGGTCAGACCTTTCTAACCCAGACTTTGCTCTTGAATGAGAATTAGGATTCAACACCATCAATGCTAGAACATTTTCTTAAGATGTCCTTGTAAAAGTCAGCATGACTAAAAAGACCAAGGAGTCATTGTCCTGACTTTGCCTTTTACTAGTTATGAGATCTTAAAAAAAAATTACATATTTTAATTTCCTTGTTTGGAAGATGGGAATAATGATCCCTACCCCATAAAACTTACAACGTTCACAGTAGTGAAATGCAATGGGCTGGGAATACCAACCCAGAGCACAATCAGGAAATTCCAGAGGAAAAAAATGGGAAAGACAACCAAAATATTAATCAAATCTAATACCACCCTACTTATTAGCTTCCACTAGCATCTTTTGAACACCTACTCTAAGTACTAAGTTCTTTAATAGCTGCAAGAGTTTAAGGCACTTCATGATGTTAAAGTTATTAGGATATTCAGGGGAAGAAACTGAAGCCCAACAACGATTAAATAAATTTTCCACCATTACACAGCTAAGAAATGAGTGGACCATGACTTGAGGCCTTGCTTGTTTGATTCTTCACTCTGAGCTTTTGAACATTATTGTGCCTCCTTCGGGGTAAAGAAGAAAATATTAAGTCAAAACCAAATGCTACTGATATTGAAGAATTTGACCTTAAATATGGCAATTTTATGTGGTTTGATCTGAAAAAATAAGTTTAAAAGAATTACTACAACTCATTATGGGATATAAGACTTATTGTTTATCAAATCTGATGATTCTAAAAAGAATTAGACATTTTAGGCAAAAAACCAGAGTCAGTAACAAACTGTGACAGCGCTTCTCGGCAGCTAATGCCAGCCAGCTGCTCTGCACACTGTGAGGTACTTCCTTCCACAGCTCAGAGGGTCTGTGGGGAGAGCACACCATCCCAAGGTCCCACGACCTTCAAGAAATCCCACACAGGGCAGGAGGAGGATGATCAATCGGTTCAAGGAATTTCCTCTACAGTCTTATGGGGAAAGAAGAATGCAACAGATCCAAGGTGTCCTGTGAAACCAAGGAGGGTATTTGGTGTGCTGGGTAGATATAACCAAGCCTGCCTGGCTCTTCCTCTTTCCAAGAAATGATTCATGAAGGGGAAAAAACGATAGGGAACAGCAAAGGGAAAGTACAGTAGAGGTTGTCTGTGATTGTCTCTCAATTCTCCAGGCAGCAGGAATCATGCAAATTTTATTAACTAAATTTCCTTTCCCAAGGGATACCGACTATTCAACATGGGCACTAAAGTTAAGGCAAAGGAATCTACTTCCTCTAACAATCAAACTCTCTATCATTTAAGTTATACTTGTAATGCAAAATTCTACATTATTGTTTTTTCTTATTATGTAAAAAGAAAAATGTGTCATATCTATTAGCAATACTTTAACTAAAAAACAAAATATTGTTTTCTGCTGAATTAAAATACATTAAGTGGCTAGGCATGGTGGTACATGCCTGCAATCCCAGAAACTCAGGAGGCTGAGGCAGGTGGATCAACTTGGTGAGACCTTGTCTCAAAATTTAAAAAAAATAAAATAAAAAGGGCTGGAGATGAGACTCAGTGGTTAAGTACCCCTGGGCTCCACCCAGTACAAAAAAAAAAAAACAAATTCCTTGAAGTATTAATATTTTACCTAGAAACACAGTGAACTCACCTTTTATCTTTTAGTTCATTCTCAAATTTTAACAGCTAAATGATTTTTTAATGATTCATGTGATAACTTATTAATGCTTCTGTAAAAGTACTGTTGTTTTGCTTCCCTGATAAAAAATCAAGATATGTGAAGTTCAAGCATTTGAGTGAAAGATGGAGACAAATTTCATTCTTAACCATTGATTATGGTATAATCTTTTTGATTGAGAGTTTGTCTGAAATATCGAAAAACCATTCATTTGCTAATTAGTCATTCAACTACTCAGCTTCTCCCAATTCACATTGACTGTGGTTTTTATAAATTTGCTTGATCCGTGTAACATTTGGCATTAATAATGAAAACAAAAGCCAGCTTGTTGGTTATTTTGATGGACATACTGTAGAGGCACTTCCCGTTGGCTCCTGATTAACCATTCTCTGTCTTGCTTGCTCAAAAATAAAATTTGCTCCTTGAATAAAGAACAAGAAGTCAGTCCAGTTGAATTTCACTGAGCATTTTAGTAATAGAGAGGTTTTCAGAATTGCAGAGAGAACAAGGATCATGCTCACTAAGTGAGCTAAGTGCTTGCTGATTGTGTTATGAATTCAATGAAGTCAATGATGCGACCCCATAAAAAATTTGGTGACATGATTCTCTTGTATTAGAATCTTTACCTTCACAACATACTCATTAATGCCAATATTAATTTAAATTTATATTTTACACTGATTTATGACACTGAAAAACTAATACAATTTGACTTCAGATTAGATCAATATTGTAATGAACTAAGTGAAGATGTTTCACATTGTAGCAACTAATGACATTATAGTCAAACACTGTAAAGAATTATGAAAATGAGTCAATTGCTACCTTTTAAAATATCTCCTTCATCCTATAGGAATTATTTATGTGTCTATAAGAAGTATTTTTTTCACATTGACCTAATATTAAATTCTAATATCACTTTGTATTATTTATAAGAATCCTTGCTGGTCAAAACACCTAGCTTGAATGTCAGATGTAGAGATGGGTTTAGAAGCCATTGAGTTGAGTTCCTAAGGATGAGGAAGTGGGACTCAGTGGTTAGGAAGGAA